CACGTGTGACCAACAAACATGTCACAACTTCACTCCGCATGGAGTCCACACTCTTTCCAACATGGAAAAACACGTGTGACCAACAAACATGTCACAACTTCACTCCGCATGGAGTCCACACTCTTTCCAACATGGAAAAACACGTGTGACCAACAAACATGTCACAACTTCACTCCGCATGGAGTCCACACTCTTTCCAACATGGAAAAACACGTGTGACCAACAAACATGTCACAACTTCACCCCGCATGGAGTCCACACACTCTCCAACATGGAAAAAAAGTGTGACCAACAAACATGTCACAACTTCACTCCGCATGGAGTCCACACTCTTTCCAACATGGAAAAACACGTGTGACCAACAAACATGTCACAACTTCACCCCGCATGGAGTCCACACACTCTCCAACATCGAAAAAACTACTCACTTCCCTCTTTTTTACCACTAGAGGGACCCACTGCATAGTCACCTCTAACACAATTAAACACAATTGGTCCCAACCATACAACAATATTTGACAAATAATAATAATAAATAGAGAAATGAATAAACAAAACCCGTCAAAGCAATGTTGTTAAGGATTCTTGATACGTTACCTGTTGAGCATACCACAAAGCCTCCGCAGTTTTTGTCCCACCGCCAATATAACTCATGTTCATAATGACGTCTGCAACGTCGCGTGGTTTGTCGAATTGGTTCAAAGAAAAGTGATGTCTTACACGGGAGGAAAAACTGATAACTCCAACCCTGATCTTGTCTTGCGCCACGGGTAGCTGAAGAACCAAATCGGCTATAAACCTTTTCACTTTTTCGTAATTGACACGCCCTACGCTTCCCGATTCATCAACGACGAAGAGAACGTCCGCTTTGACATCCTTGCCACATTCTGTAAAAGAAGAATCGTAAATGTACAACAAATACAATTTCTTTTACCAGTTAGCAACACAGATTAAAGGCGAAAGCTGGTACAGAAAGATGATAGAATGGAACTATCAAAAACTCCTTCAGCAGAGTATTTCGGTCCAACAGACACGTGTCTCTACTTTGGAATACAATAATCTCGTATGCTTCACTGCGAACAGTTGCCTCGCGAGGGGCCTTACAAAAAGTATCCGATCTGTGCAGGACACAACAATAAACTGTTTTAATCGCAGCATTCGCACCACTAAACGCCCTG